GGACAGATAAATGCAGGAGGTGCAACATTTATACAAATATTCCTCATTCCTTTTCTTGCTCTCCTTAATAATTCTTAATTACACTAAAGTTTTATTTGGTTATGTTTCAGAGGAAATGCTGAGAGCAGCTAAGGAGCAACATGCCTTGGATGATGAGATGATGCCAAATGGAGGAAAAGCCAAGGGACTCTTCAGAAAGTCCAGGAAGTCATCTCAGCAAGTACTCACAACCAGAGGTATCTACCCGCTGTAGTAGATGGCAATAATAGAGTCTCTGATAGCCCTTAATCCATGCCCTGACGCATAAAAAATAATCTGTGGATAACTCCTAAATGTGTAAAAACCCTCCTCCATTCATTTGCTTCAAATCAAGGGATAAAATAATATATATCTAACAAATGAAGTCAATGGCTCACGTCTTTTTTCTGTGGAACTTTTTTCCCTCACTCCCGTTGAGGTGTAATTGAATCAGCTGCTCCAACTAAAGACGTTGCTGTGGGTGTAATCCGATAATATGCTCCCATTTGTTCCACTTTGAGAAGCATCTTTTAAAAGGAAACTTTAAAACCAGATAGAAGTGGGTCCATGCAGCCTCCCACTCTATCAATCTATGTCTCTGCATCACACTGCACCACCAGTGTTCTCCATTCTGGCAAGACTGTAAAGCTCATTAGTATACAGTCTTCATCCTCCTGAGAAATGTCTGTACTTGTCTGTTAATGATCAGTCTGCCTCAAATGCCCCACTGTTCCCTTTTAAATCACCTCTCCGTGTACCCTTACATATATACTGAGCCTATTTTTCTGTCTGTTCTGTCTTTCTCTCTAACAGTGTCGGTATGTGGGCCCCCTCCACCGCAGGTCGCCAAAATGAACGAGAGGCTGATAGAGGCTAGTCGTCATTTTAAGAAGAAACAGCCTAAAGGCACCACTGATGTGTGGTGGCTGTTTGATGATGGAGGTAGGTGTTACTACCCAGGGAAAGCGTTCGGACTGGCAAGCTACATGTCTCACTGAGTGAGACGGATTCATCGGCACTGACAAATGAATAATAAGTTAATTTGTTCTTGAATTATTGAGGCAAGTGAGAGCCTTTGCCAATGGAACAAGACAATTTTACATTAATAATAAGAAAAAAACAATTGCATTATCTTATTTCAAGTGCATTTTATCTACTTCTCTTATTATAAGAGTAAAAATATCCATTCCATTGGCAATCTTATTTACTCAAATTAAGGGTAAATACACATGATTGAAGAAATGTTGACTTATATTTAGATATTTTTTGCAGTGCATATCTTTTCTGAATACTGAAACAGAAAGACAGAAAGAATCAGATTTAGTTGATAAAATGTAACTAAAAACAAGGTGGGGAAAATGTTCAGTCCAAAAAGAGCTATCAATTATTACCATAACTACCAGATGTAAATTGTCAATTTAACATTTGAGGCTCGCTCTGATGGCAGGAGATAGAAATAAAAAACATTTAGATACTTTGGTTTTAGCAGTTTTGGCTTTTTTATCCTTCATCTTTTTGCAGGTTTAGCCAAATTTCAATTAAATGTCAGGCAGACAACCATCATTCTTTTCGCACATGTTTAGTGCTGTGGAATAGGGGGAGTGCTAAGTGAAATAAATAGGATTTTTAACCAAATATGCTTGAAAAGCTAAATATATTCTAAATGTTAATGTACGATTTTAAAAATACTTCATGGATAGATCGATCGACAGATATTATTACAAGGATGTAAATTGAATTAGCCACAGTAATATCTCAGTACTTACAATACAAGCAAACCATGTCGAGCTCTTGCTCTAATATAGCTATTCTTCAAAAAATGCAGTAAATGCTTTAGAAACATTTACTTAGGCAGAGGCCGGGAAGCAGAAAGAGACGAAACACAGCAAACAAAGAAAGACCACATCCTGTTGCAGTGCAATTTTAAGGGCCTTGATAGTAAGGTCTAAAGACCTTAATGTTGAGATAAGAAGTATACAAAGTCTGAGAAGCACTACTAACGTGTGTAATCAGATGTATTGTGCTGATATTGTATATATATACAAGGTGTTATTATATTTTTATATATTTTCTGATTAAAATAAGCATAGATGCAGTGGGACTAATCCTCAGCATGCTTCAAATATATTGGATACATTTGAAGTCTGATCAATTTGGCATATCCTTATCAATAATTTAAATATTTTTCAAACTATATTTATTTTTCATTATCTCAGCTTTGGTATTATATATGTGTTGATAAGAAACACAATGCTGGGAATTGTTTACATACTGTGCCAAGGCATAAGGAGAAGGGAAGGTTCCTACGAAACAGGAAATGAGATTCACCCTTTGTCCCTTTTTATTGGAGATAAACAGATATAATAGGACATCAAGATAACAAAAAGAACTTTAGCTATGTTTTATTGTCCAAAAGATATAGGTCAGTATGGATAGACAAAGAGGACAAATGTCACAAGGTTGAACAATTATTACATTTTTAAAACAATCAACTTATATTTCATTCTCCCAGGTCTCACACTGCTGCTCCCATACATCCTCAGCACCAGGAAGAAGTGGAAAGACTCCAAATTAAGGATCTTCATTGCAGGGCAGCCTGGACGCACTGAAATAGACAAGCAGGAGTGAGTGAACAAATTAATGTTCCAGTATCAGTAGCAGTGACTTCTCACAACAACATTAAGATACATAAAAATATCTTCATGCAATTAAACTAAGCTTAAAATCTTACATCATTATCTCACAGAATGAGGTCCCTGTTGCACCAGTTCCGAATTAAATGCAGCGACATCACCGTCATTGATGATATCAACGTTAGACCCAGGGATGACAGGTAAATGCTCTCCATCAGTTTTGGATGGTGCAACAGTTACGGTGAAGGTAGTAATCAGTAAGTAATCCATATATATAAGTCAGCTCATCCTCTCATCTGTCATCCATCCAGCTTAAAGAAACTAGAAGACATGATTGAGCCTTTCCGTCTACATGAGGGGTCCAAAGGCAGGGATCAGGCGCAGGGAATGCAAAAGGAGTATCCCTGGAAAATCACTGATGCGGAGCTCAGCAGTTTTGAAGAGAAGGTGGGGAAAAAAATGATTTGATTTTTTTATTGTAATTCAATTGATTTTTATTAATTAAATAAAAATATCATACTCTTTTACAGACAAACCTCCAAGTACGCCTAAACGAACTCCTTCAGGAACACTCCAAATTGGCCAATCTGATCGTTGTGTAAGTATAAGCAGCAGATGTCCAGATTCTATTCAATGACTATGCTTTATCCAATGACGGAAAGTAGATTTTCTTATTTAATGTTTTATTTTTTCTATATGGTTAACCCTCTGCAGGAGCATGCCCATTGCTAGAAAGGGATCCATCTCTGATTTCCTCTACATGGCCTGGTTGGACATCTTGACAAAGGACCTTCCACCCACACTGCTCATCCGAGGCAACCACAAGAGCGTTCTTACCTTCTACTCTTGAGCATCTCAAAGGCCAAACACCAAAGAACAATGTAGCTGGAAGGGGCATCACAAAGACATTACTTTGAACTATGTTTATAAAGGGTACAGTGATATTAGTGAGACAGTCTTCCAGACCACATCAGTCATGTGTTCATACTCTGATTATCAATTTAAGAAAAACAATTTAAAAACATGCAAGATAATAACCATGAATTATAGAGGGTTAAGAGTGTGAACTTTGGTTAAAATGACGGTTATATGAACTGCTTCATGAAGAATTGAAGCAGTTTCCGGTTCATCATCGTTATCTGTTAGGTTTAAGGCTGCTGTTTGACTATTTAGCATAACATCAATGTGAGCTTAATAAGAAATTTTGCAGTTTTCCATTTCAGTCCAGAGAGAGAACCAGCGGGCACATGACGCTGCTGGCGTAGTTAGAGTGACTGTAATATAAATGTAAATAAAACACTGGAGTAGACGTTTTTTAAGTCAAAAAGCTTAATAAATCATTACCAATAGGTTTTGATACTGGGTAAGTTAATAATAGTACTTTGTTCACTGCAGTTATACTTGTTTAATTCTTTTTGTACACATTCTTTAATTCTAAAATGCAGTAAAAACACCATATAGCATATTGTTTACTTATTCCACCCAATGCTGCTTCAATGTCTTCATTTCACTACCACAAAACACATTTTCGTTTGAAGAAAATTAAGTTACTCAAATTGCTATTGAATATTTTTACTTATTCATTTGTGATTATATGTAAATAAATTGGATTATTTGAAATAAAAAAGTGTTAAACATTTTTTTTGTATTGTTGTTCTTGCACATTAGTAGTAGATTAACACTGACAGGTAAGGAATAAGGATATAGGAATGCTATTGTAGGGTTAGGATATTTGATAATAAGCTTTGAACATCACAGTGCACCAATCATTCCATAATCTGAAAATGAGTATAAAAAAAGTAACACTGCATATTACCCTGAACAATGTGGTTTTAGCGAAATAAGTGAGTTATCGTGTTCAGGAAAAAAAAAAAAGAATGATGAAATTTAAAAAGATACAAAGATGTTGATAAAGGGCCAATACATGAAAAGGAAATTATGGCAGCAGCTACTAATGGGTTAAAGATTACATTTGAAAATTGTTTTTATTCTACATTAAATCTGACTGATTTTAAGTTGTATACAGCTTTATTGGCAACTTACATTGACACATAAAAGGAGATTTGGCATTGTAAAATCAAACATTGTTAAATGCAACAATATAAAGCCGAAAATTGAAAAGTAAAACATTAAATAATTAAACATTCAGCTATTGGAATATCAATCATTTTCAGTGAAATTAAATGTGACTGCAAAAGGAAATAGTGAAGATAGTAAAAATGTATATATATATACACACATATATATATATACGTTTCCAGTCGCTATCTTACAGACTTTCTGCGTTCTTTTGACGTTGGGGGCGGGGCTAAACTGAAGACGCATTTAGGGACCTCAGGTTCTTTACCATGTTCTTACTGTAGGAGGAGTTGTCTGCCGACAAGATGTGGGTTGAAACCAGGTGTACTACACGGAAGCTATTAGCAAACCAATTATGAAAAGGTTCAAGGACATTCAGCGATGCTTATCGGTGTTTGAAGCTTCTCCACGTTTTTCTGAAAAACAGTTTCACACGCAGATGTGCTCTAAAAACAAAGGCAAGGACGATGGCAAACACTGCTAGCTAGCTTTGCTAGTCTATCAAACATCTTGTAACTGACTGCTTTGGTTTCTGTGTTGTGTTGTATTACACATTGTGTTGACAGTGTATGATCCCGAGATCTCCTGTTTGATTCTAGTATGATATTCAGATAAATCAGGGTCATAAACGATATATACTAAGCAGTTTGGTGTTTACAGCTTTAATTATCGCGAGAACATGAAAAAGCGTCATAATAACTATAGCCGTGATAGTTACGAGTTTATTCGTTTCAGTTATAAAAGCGGCTTTCTAAAACAAAAAAAATTGTTTATCAGCTCAGTTTGGAGGGTGATGGGGTTAAATAATTACGATCTTATGTTGTTAAATCGTGTTTTCATACGTCATCGTTTCTTCTTCTTCTAAGGTTTTATGGCGGTTGGCAAATTAGTTAAAGTGCATTACCGCCACCAACTGATAAGGAGTTAAACAGGAAACAAGACTCATCCCCAGAAAAAAATTAAAATAAATTAATATTTTTCCGAACTGTAATTTAATCCAACATACTAAATAATCAAATTCGTTCTAATAATTTCTTATTTATCTGTAAGTAATCTGATGGTCCTTCTCGTTTTCCCATCAATTTCTCAGTTTAAATCTTTAACTTCAAGATACTTTTCTGCAGCTTTCACTACTATTTAGATTTTTTCTGTTTTCTTTGTCGTCTGAACACTACATTTGATCACTCATACCATGAAAAGAACAAAATCTGTTTTATAATGAATGAATCTTCTGCAATTTTGGGACATTGCTCCAGAGGTTTTGAACTTGACATTTGCTTAACTGTTGGTTTTGATCTTTCTGACTAGGATGGGATTCTTTTTTGTAGCTTCAGCATAAGTTATTCCGAGCTCTAATTTTGCTTTTCTTATCTCTTCAGATCTTTAACTCAATTCACACCCTTGATATGCAGCAGTATGTTCTCCACCACAGTTGCAGAATTTAATCTTTACTTCTTTCCCACATTTTCCATATTGATGCTCTCCAGCACAGCTTCCACATCATCATTTGCCCTTACATACTGCTGCTATATGTCTGAATTTTTGGCATTTGAAGCATCTCAGAGGTGGAGGATTGTACATTTTGACATTGTAGCTAATGAAATTGTATGGCTTTGCCTTGTTGAGCGCTGTCTCTGCAGTTTATTAACAAGTCTGCACTATACATATACAGGGTTTTGGCAAATCGGACTTCTCCTACAAGTTTATAGATTTTGTTAACTGAACCGGATTCCAATCTGTAAAATAGTCTGCCTGATTGCCTAGTTTGAATATTACTGTGTAATCATTTTGTTTTATATTTCTAATTTCTAGATGGTTCATCACTTGACTGTTCTGAACTTGATTCCCCTTCAATTGATTTTCATTTTCACTATTTCCTTCTTCCATCCCACAAGAATCGCTTCCTGTTTCCTCGCTACTAACGACTCAAGACATTTTTCCACAAGCAACTTAGAAACACACGGGATGCACATCCGACTAGGCCAAAAACACATGGAATCATTTTTCGTTTCAATAAAATTATCGGGGAATAAAAAAAAAAAACATGGAATCGGCCAAGGATGGGGTCTTAAAGGAATATTGGGAAATGAAGGAAAATTTAAAGGATATTCACAGATTAAGGAAAGCAGTATTTATCTACAGAATACAAGATTAAAGAAAATAGAATTTGATGTAAGGTAATGTTGCTTAACACTCATGTACAGTAGGTGGCGGTATGCACCTTAAACTTTCTTGCGACTAAGAAGGAAACCGGAAGCGTGAGTGAACTGTTTCCTCTGCGCGGGAAAAGCGAGTCCGCCAAAGACTAGAGAAGCTCGTTAAAAATATATGAGAGTGCTAGTTGCGAACTTTATTGCAAATAAATTAATTAATTAATTTTAGTTGAATAATTTCGGGAGTTTTTATAAACTGTGTACACGTTCCCATCATGCCGGTCCTGGATGTTACAGATGCTTCTGCAGTTTCTCCATCCAAGAGAGCAAAGACAGAATCCACGCCTGAAGAAAAACATGTGCTTAGATTTTCTAAATTATCGGAGCATGCCACAGCTCCTACACGGGGTTCTGCAAAAGCAGCTGGATATGACCTCTACAGGTTAGTTACAACATGTGCCCTGCTTTGGAAATGGCTGTTTATATTCCAACCACGTTGTTTTATTTCTAAAGCTCCTTGAATTTAACAGAAATTTCACTTTGTGCATGTTCTGCACACAGAGGGTGCACAGTTAAGCTGAAAGCATAGCTTTAGATGAAAAGCTCTGCTCTGCTGTATGCAAGATAAACTGATGCAATGCCTCTGTATGATAACCAATTTCTCCTCTTTTGCCACAACAGTGCTTATGATTACTCCATCGGTCCTCTGGATAAGGCGATAGTAAAGACAGACATTCAGATTGCTGTTCCCCATGGACATTATGGTAGAGTTGGTGAGTTTGCAAGCTGCTGATTGTGCTTCTCAATTTCACTTCCTGTTAAGCTCGTGCAAATTTAAATGTAAGTATTTCTTTTTCAGCACCAAGATCTGGCTTGGCAGCTAAACACTTTATCGATGTTGGCGGTAAGTCTGGGTAGAAACCTCTGCTTCCTCTGTTGATCATCTAAATCAAGCAGTGTTGTGCACGTTACTTTGAAAAAGTAATTATTTATAGTTACTAGTTACTTCTCCCAAAAAGTAACTGAGTTACAAACTGAGATACTCCACAATAAAAGTAACTAGTTACTAGTAAAAGTAACTATTGCGTTACTTTTGCGTTTCTCGCCCCCGTAACCCTCACCA